TGCCTTGTGATTCTGAATGCAAAGTGCAAACTTGTTAGTGCAAGTATTTCTCGTGTAATAATACATAAATTATTCAAACTTTCAAAGAAATTGCACTTTTTTTTCTAGATGCAGTGTTTCTTAAATTTGAAATTATTTTGCCATGGGAAATCTAGGCATTATCTTATATACACCAATAAACCATTCACTTTGCAATGTTTAACATAATAATACTTGGTTTTTTGTTCTTCAATACAATCCAGTAATCCGAAAGTTGTTTGTTAAAAGCTGAACTTTGTATTTCTTTAGATAATATGTGATGTAGCTGCGTGGGAGATTGGTTTGTCATCTGCACAGCCTATTTTCTTGTTGTAAGACGACTGAATAATCGCATTGCAGCGTATTTGAAATATTGAGTCAGTGCATGGGGGCTTGCATGCATGAGTGTTGTATTGCATGTGAAATTTAAGAAGATATCTTAACGTTCAATTCCCTTTAGAATTATTTATGAGAAAAGTCTCAACAAAACGATTCGAACATGCTAGATATTTCAACCATGTAGGAGTAACTTGAACCGCTTCACGCCCAAGCCTGGGTTTTGGCATAAATTAGAGAATAATGTGTTCAAATGGAAATAACACAATGTGAGGTTTCAACAATGATGTTTTCGTCTTATTTTGATTTGAAACTATGCCATTTGTAGGGTTCCATATTCATCTTGTCAATAACCAACATCCTGATTTCCAATACATGAATAAGGATATCACTGGCTTGGCTTGATGGGGTAAATGGCCTCCCTTGTGCTTTCATTCAAGCTCACAACTATTCCAAAACTGTATAAAAATGGAACAAGGCAAAATGGCCTCCCTTGTGCTTTCATTCAAGTTCACAACCATTCCAAAAACTGTATAAAAATGGAACAAGGCAAAAACTGAATATTCCGAACAAAACAAATTTTGGGTTCTTACAAAACAGAGACATGTCTCAAGGAACAAGCTTCCAAGCTAGCTGCATAGTTTGATCGTTGATGTAAGGTCACAACGTCCACATCAGGGAATAGCTCTCTAGTTCTTCGGATGTTGTCTTGAGATTTAGAGATTTAACAATCTTATCCTGCAACGGAAAGGCGGTGTTTTGTCACCGTTCTAGAGAAAAATAGAAATTGTTTCGGAACTCCATATTCGATGATTGATGGGGTTTCGCTCTGCATCGGAAGTATGATAATAGTTACAAGCAGTACCTGCATTGTACAATCCTGCTTCACCATACTATATACGATCCCAATTAAGACAGCATAATCTGTCACTTCGGGTTCTCGGAGACAAGATGAAGTCATTTCATCCTAAAGGGGAAAACAAAAGGATCATTCAGCAAGTTAGTCAACTTCCAATAAACAGAAAGAGTTGACGCGTAAACACCTACTTCGTCATCACTTTCATGTGGATGTAGTCCTACACTAGATTCCGCGTCCAACAAAGGAGATAACTGTTGATCTGCCATTTGCAGCGTAGCTGTGGCATCCCTCAAGTGGCATTCGAGGATTCGACTGCACACCATAAGTTTGCAAACACTTGTTGATCCTTGCACAACATATTTACTGGATTAAAGTACAGACAAAGACAATAAGATTGTAAATAGAACATTAGCTTTAATCAAATGATCATGTAGTCCATGCAGGCAAGTGTATACTTCCCATACGAAAGATCAACATGCAAGTACAAAAGTGAATATAAAATAAGCAGAATTAGGAGGGTTTTAGAAGGCAGATCATACTACATAATCAAGAGATTACCCGATTATAGCAGAAATCAGTATATAACAGAAGAACACTAAGTGCTCACTGTTTCCATTTATCAACCAGATAATGCTTTATCTATGAAGAATGAAAGAACTTACACTCGCTCGTATTATGTACATGGTCATGATTAAAGAACTTACACTTGCTCATATTATGTACACGGTCATGATTGTTAATACAACCAGCTTCAAGGTATGACTTTAACCTCTTTGTTTCCTTGGCTTTAAGAACGTTCTCGATAAAATTGGACACCTCGTTAATTGTAGGGCGCCAAAGAAACTCTGAAAGATGATCGAGAAAATACAATCACCAAGGAAAATTAGCAACGAAACCATCCTATCGATTACAATGGATAAAAAATATAATGCGGATTTTCAAAAGGTGCCAACCTAGTCCTTGCTGAAAGCCGGTAAGTAGTCTGCCTCCAACGGCCACCAGTTCATCAAGCTTTGCCACCCTGAAATGTCCCAAACAATAATTTCGGAATTCGGTAAAAACCAAAGGCTTCATCACTTTGATTTCTATTGAAAATGAAGTTGCATCTTAAAGTTGCAAATCCAACCCCTTTCTCTAATGTGCAGACATACAATATCCTAAAGCAATTAAGGAATGAACACATCGAAACCAATGTCTAGAAGCATTGGAGTAAGTTAACAACTGTGAACAAAATTTTGTGTTTTGATTACCCTGTCAACAAATCTGTATAAATTTGGAACATTTTCTCCATTGTGTATCCTTTTAATTTCATCTCGTCTTCACGCTCCATTCCTTCCAAAAAAGAAAGCTTAAAAAACTAAGTCACGTAGAATATAACCAAACTAATTTAAATCCAGCGATTGTTACCCAGCTAGCAGCTACTGTGAAAACAACAGCTAGCAGGCAGAGGACAAACCCGAACCAGACTAATTTAAATCCAGCGATTGTTACCCGTGTCTGTAAACTGTTGTCTGCTTCGTAAAGATTTTGTTTTTTGCCCTCTCAGTTCAAGGCTTCATCTTGAATTGATTCATACAAATTTAAATCCAGCGATTGTTATTTTATCCAGCGATTGTTATTTTATCCAAAAATTAAAAGGGTAAAGGTACACAAATGATCTCTTAAATTATAAGATGTTTATTTATTAAAAATTATAAAATTATTAATTAATTATTTATTATGCTACAAATTCATATTTTTTCAGTTATAAATTGACGATTATCTAATTTAAATGTTAACATAATGACTAAGATATGATAATTATAAGATATTCTATGATTAAATTTTATTATATCACAATCAATAAGTTAACGTCAACTCAAAATATCATTAATTTTAACATAAAATGATGAGCTTAGAACATAATAAATAATTTGATGACTATTTTATAACTTTTAATGTTAGAGATACTCAACAAATCAACACTCATAGATAAAAAATTATTTTATAATTTTTAATAATCAAGAGACCTAATAAAATAATGTTGTATAGTTAAAAAATCATTTATGTAATTTATTCAAACAAAAGCAAAACAAACGTTGTGTCACCAGAAAAAAATCAAAATCAGAAGAAAAAAATCCCACTGGATCTCCCTTACTGTTGATCGTCACTGAGCTTCTTTTGGCTTTGATTTTACATTCTTCAATGGCGGGAATTATATACCAAATCTTAGCCTCCTCCACGCTTCTCTCTCTGGGTCTTTACCATCTAATCTGCACCGTCCGTAACTTCCTCAAATCCCCACAAAGCTACTCCGCCAAGCCCTTTTACCCTTTCCCTTTCTCCCCCAATCTCCGCCTCAAGCACCTTCCTCTCTATCTCCTCATCCTCTGCCTTTTCATCGCTTTCCTCCACCAATCCATCACCTCCTCCGACCCCGACCCCCTCGTCAAAGGCCGCACCCCCGTTTACCGCTTCGTTACCCTCAACTCCGCCGCCGTTTTGTTCCTCTTCTTTCTCGTTTCGGTTTCGTTTCTGATCTCCGAGACTACGTCGTTTCTTCCTTTCCCTCCTGATCTCTTCTTCGCCTTTGGGTCGGCTCTTTTCTTCCTCCATTACTCCGTTTCCGAATCCGCTTCTTCTGTTCAGACGTCTGATCTACAGGCCAAATGCGATTCCATTTCCGCCCGCGTCTCTGCTTTGGCTTCGTTGATGAGTTTGATTTTAGCTTGTCAACCCAAGCTTTTTGTGGCGGAGGTGGGCCTGGGGGCGGCGATTTGCTTGCAGGGGCTTTGGGTTTTGCAAACCGGGCTCTCGCTCTACGTGGATGCGTTTATACCCGAAGGTTGTCATAAGCTGCTTGATGTTGTGAGTGGCGTCGAGGGATCCACCAAGTGCGAGCTCGACGAGTCGCGGCTCAGGGCTGTGGCGATTCTGGATCTAGTGTTCGTTGTTCACGTTATGTTTGTTGTCATCATTGTGATGGTCACTTACGCACTTGTTGCCAAGACTGTTGGCACGAGGAAACTGGGATCGTATGAGGCCTTGCCTTCCAATGCTGCTGATAATAATCATATTCAGATGAAGGCTTTGACTGGCACCCAAGCTTGATCCGTTTTCTATTTTTCTAACTCTCCGCTCTATCTTTTTTTTTCCTTCTTTCTAATGAATTGTCAGTTTGATTATTGTTGTTGTGGCATTCGTTTCGAGGATTATTAAGCATGTCAAAGTTTTGAACTATGTAATCGGTGGCCACTTTTTGTGTATACAAGCTATTTCCATCTTTCTCTACTTTATGAGTTTGCTGGTAGACATTTTCACTTCATTACTTGATCTCTCTGTCGTTGAATTCTGCATTCATCGGATGTTAGTCGATGGTGAATGGAAATTAAAATTAGTCCAATGTTTAATAGCATGAAGAGCGAAAAAGAAGCTGATGACGGTAGGAAATCTTTCTCTCTTTATATAAAGGGTTACTTTTCTGTTCCATTGTGTTATTTTTTGAGCTCAATGTGTTCAGCATCTGTAACTTGATTCCGTGGAGTAATTTGATTTTTTATCATTACTTTGCTTTCTTATTTCAATTTGTCACTGTTAGTGTAATGATATCGAATATTTTGATTCTTAAGCATCTATACTATGATTATCGTGTTGTTTTGAGTACAAAATATGCTCCATAATTGACTTGTAATATTTTTTAGTACAAAAGTGTGTCTCGCATAAAAGGAGGCCTTCGCTTTGCGCCTAGGCTCCATGGACCCTTTGTGTCTCGGTGTGACTTGCTTCTTTTAAATCTAAGATGTCTGGCAGAGAAGACGGTGAGTTATCAGCCATGTCATTTATCTGTGTTAGTCTCAGACTGTGTTTTAAAAAGCGCGCCTGAGGCGCTAGGCGAGGCGAGGCGTTTAGAAAAAAGCCTCCGACCATCAAGGCGGCGGCGAGTACATGAGGCGGCGATTCAGTCGTCGGAGGCGGCGAGAGGCGACGAGGCGACGAGGCGATGCTTTTAGCGATTCACGTACAATGACCTATTTTTAAATTTTGGGTCTAGGCTCGATTTTCTTCCAATAGTCAGACCTTTTAAATTCCAATTACTTCATTAATGTATTCCTGGAACTTTGAACTGTCTCTTGACCTTCTAACGTCCAATTTTTTAATTACTGTATGTCTATAAATCATGATCCAAGCTCTCTAGTTTCTCCGATGCATACCCTGGAGCTTCTTTTCCCTCCTAAAATTTTCTCTCCCTCTTTCATTCATGCTTAATTCAGTGATTGTTCTACGTTGAAGTTAAAAGCAGACTCCTTTCTCAGTTTTTCCTATCTCCTTTCTCGATTTTCTCCATTAAGGTAAGTCTTAATTTTAAAATTTGTATCACTGTAGTGTATGTACTTGGTGTTTTTGTTATGCTACTTGGTGTTTTTGCTTATTAAGTTGTTTTGTGTTTGAGGTATGGTTATAAAATATTTTTGCTTATTAAGTTGTTTTGTGTTTGAGGTATGGTTATAAAATATTTACAAATGTTTTGTAAAATTAAGCGCCTCGCGTACGTGAATCTCTCGCCTCAAAGCGCCTCAAAAAATTGAGGCTCTCGGGTAGCTAATCGCCTTGGAGCGCCTCACGCCTTTTAAAACACAGGTCTCAGATGATCGATATTAGCTGAAAAAAAACTAAACCATTTACCCGCAGGGATGTACATCTTATTAGTAAATCTTTGTGTGTGTTTATATAATTCACATGAATTAGTGGATTTGGTGGAATGTGTTGGGACATCGAAATTTTGTCTATACTGTTGAACAATATAGTGCATAGACTACTAGACTTGTCTTCATTATTAGCATTACATTTTCGAACCAGATCGTATGTAGCCGAGCTTTTATAAAGGTATTGAGTAGAATTCGGGATGAATATTGTCGAAATAGATTTCATGAAGCTGGGACAAAAGGTATGCATAAGATAGACTCGCACCGAAATTGTATTTCATACTTGAAGAACCTATTAGATAGCCATTTAGTTTATTATCATTCTTAGCCTTAAATAAATTACCTTCAAGAATGAAGCTTCATTTGATAGTGTAGGGACCTTTCCTTAAACGCTCAATTTACGTTATTTGTAATAAATTTGTTTGTGTATGCTTCCCTTCTCTTCTTCTCTTCTTCTCTTCAGTTTAATTTGAATGGCACCTCCAGAAAGGCTCCTATAAGAACCCGTCTTTCAGCGTTTCTTCAAGGAAAGGTCAGACCATGGTGGCCAATTATATATGTTTTTCCCCTCACCTGATATCAGAGGTAAGGTCTTAAACCAAAATTTCCTATTTGTTGCACCTATGGATTTTCTTGCTATCGTTTCGTTATGTTGATGATGTCGTAAATGTGTGCTAGCAAGTTCATATTGTTTTCTTGTTGCTCTTGTAAAGATTAATATTGATACCCATATCTATATCCATCTATTGTCTTTGCATTCGTGGAAAAATATGTACCGTCTGATGAGTTCCATTCACAGAGCTGATATCTTAGATGAATTTAGAAATCCGGGTTACGTGCCAAGAGAAAGAAATAAAGGTGCAGTGAAAGGTGGGAAGCTGAAAAAAAAGGGGGAAACAGAAGGTCGTAATGATTAATAACCTATTACCAAGGGTGTTTTTTGTATATCTTTTCAAATATATTCTTAAGCTTTCAACTTAGAACCAATTGGTAATAGCTAAAAGGTCATGCACTTTGACTTGACTTTGAGTGTGGCGGCCATCGAGGGTGGCTTTTCCTTAGGGCTGTCGAGAATTCCCCAATCTAATTCTTTCTCAATTTTTCCACGACACCGTTTAAAAAATTAGGATGGCTTTTCCGGTGACCACAATAAATTATTTTTTATCATTTTTGTATGATATAGTATTTTTATTTTTATTATTATTTAATATAAAATAATTATAAATATAAAATAAAAAAAAGAATGTGGTTGGATGCCACCGTCGGATACCATCGACCGTCGTAGATGGTGGTCGTTTGGTCCCAAATTTCATAAGTCGTTTCGTCTTGACACATTGAGTCCGAATTCGACCTACATTTTATTGAAACTTACTCTAAAGTCTACAAATTAGAGACTTAAAGCGAGGAAGTCGAAATGTTTCAGTCAATATTAATGGGTTTTAGGACATTTTTCGATGAAATAACCATCAAATTCAAACTTAAGGAGTCAAGACGAATTTGCCCATGAAATCTAGGATCGAACGGTCACCATCTACGATTGTGTTGGTGGTCGTCGGTGGCAAATGACCACCTTATGCTTTTATTTTATATTTTTAATTTTTTATATTAAATAATAATAATAAATGACACGTCATACAAAAATAATAATAAAATAATTAAGAGAAATCAAAACAATAACAATTCGAAAATTTCAATGAGTATATTAGAAAAAATAAAGGTACAATGAGTCAAATATGAGAGAGAGCATATTTCAGTGAGGAATAATGTAATTTACTTAAAAAGTTATTAAACTAATATTATTATAAATAATAAAATAATTATGGGTAAAGTTAACAAATGATTCTCCAACTACATAATGTTGTTTTATTGAGTTCCTCAACTATTTAAAGTTATAAAATAATCATCAACTAGAGGATATTGTTTTGTCGAGTCACTCGACCATCAATAAAATAGTCACATAATAATTCATATGTTCTAAACTTATCATTTTTCGATAAAAATTTATGGCAATTTGAGTTGGACGTTAATTTATTGACTGAGATATGATATAATCTAATTTCACACTCTCAAACAACTACATATCTCAGTTAATATGTTAACGTCTAGCTCCAATTATCATCAATTTTTTAACAAAAAATGACGAGTTTATGACACAATGAAAACTTTTAATAGTCAATAAACTCAATAAAGCAACATCCTATATAGTCATGAGACTATTTTGTAACTTTTAATAATTGAGATACTTAATAAAGTAACATCTATTGTCAGAAGACCATTTGCATATTTTATCCAATAATTATCTAATATATTTACCGCTAATATCACAAATAAACTCAAGAATCTATCAAGTATTATTGATCATTACTACAAAATACATATTAAGTAAATATATCAAATAATTATTGTTTATAGAATCACTGATACATACTAAGTATCTAATATTTTTTAGAGTAGACTATCTATTTTTATATTTTTATTTTGGTCATGTTATTATATTTTTTTATAAAATCATATTTAATGATATAATTTTTTATTTTGAACGCATGTAATTAATTTTAATTGTTGATTTAACAGAAATGATAATGTATTATGACATAATAATAACCTTAATTTTTAAAATTTATATATTTTATCATTTTGATCTTGCTTTAAAATAATTTAATAAATGATAATTAAAATTAAAATTATTATTATTATTATGTCATATCAAATGACAAAGTCAACAATTAACAACTAATAACCAAAATAGAGAAATGTGAGGTTAATATGATTTTGTTAAAAAATATTTAGATGACTAAAATATAAACACAAGAATAAGTGAAGCATCAAATAAATAGTTTATATATTTATTAAGTTCAATAATTAAATATTAAAAATATAAGAAATAATATATATTTTTTAAACACAGGCAAAAGTTTAAAATTTACTAGTGGTAGGTATAGTTAACCTTTCATTTTCGTTGTTGGAATATGAATAAGCACATAAACATCGACTCTCATAGGGATAGGGATGTAAAAAAATCCGAATTGAACGGAGAAAATTGAAAATCAAATTAAACGGATTAAATTTGGGGATGATAAACGGAGATGGAGACGTAGAAAAATCGTTTATACTAAACGGGGATGGGGTTTGGTAATCTCCACCCCGATTACCCGGCTCGATACTTGACCCGATAAATATTAAAAATAATTATATATATATATAATATTAATAAATTTAAATTAAATTAATATATATATATATAATATTTATATATTTAATTTAAATATATATATTCGACCCGATACCCGATCCAATATTCATTTAAATAATTGTTTATACTAAACGGTGATACACATTTTCTCACAATTTTTCCTGATTATCCGATGAGGATCACCGTTTAAATCTCCGTGATTTTTTAAACAAAAACAGATACAAATTTTTTAAACGGGGACGGAATCAATACCCGGCCGTTGCAATCCCTAGACTCTCATGGATTTTCACACAAAATTATAAACAAAAATCACTTCTTTTTTTATTTAATTTTCTTTCTTAATTTTAAAGGGAAAAGAAAGCGTTAGATTCTTCGATTTTAGATCCACTGCCCCTCCAGAAACAACTGCAATTGCAATTGTTCATCTGG